CGGTTAAAAAGAAATTGGGCTAGAGACATTCTAATCTAAAAAAAAAAATTTTAAATAAAAAAGTAAAATAAATTTCAATGCCCGAACTCAATTTTCTGAGGTTCTGTCACTGGACAGTCTCCTCTTCATGTGCTTCATGTCTTCTTTAATCACTATCATTATTGTTACTTATTGTTTTATGTGTAAACAGATTTTAATATATTTTTAATAAAAAAAAAAAAGTACATTTCCTAAAAATTTTAAATAAATCGGTACGGTAGTTTTGGCTTTACGTTGATTTCACCATTCATTTATATATATAAATACGTAAAAGTGTACGTAAACAATATTGTATGGATTTTATTCTAAGTTCAACGTTTATAGTTAAGGATTGAAAATTTAAAACAAGGTACCACGTAAGTATTTTATTCTGTCACCAAAAAATAAAAATAAATTATAAACACAGTTATTTTTTACAGACATTTTAAGTTTAAATTTGGACTAAATTACAAAATAATTATTATTACTAAGTACCTAAATTTTATGATAATATCGTAATTCAAGTAATGATAATAAAAATTCAAAATATTATAAAAAGTGTTTCAAGACACATACCTTATATTAAACGACTAACGAACAAACTATAGTCAAAATCTTTTTGGCAAATCTAAAACAATATGGACAAATATGTCTTGATCGCTGCTCCCGCGCTCATATGTCATAAACATTCGAGTATTCGACTGATTCGACCAGAGTTAATGTGGCACAGCGAGAAAATTAATAACTCGTAAACAAGATTTCCCGTAATATAATAATGTAGACGAGATTACGACTTGAGAGAAATATACGGGCGAGCAAGCGCGCCCACAGGATAAAATCCCACCAGGGGCAAGATAAAAATTATTTAAAATATAATATACTCACTAATTAACTAATAGTAGAATTAAATCAATAGTAGTATTTAATAATAAAATAATAATATTTAGATGTTTAGTAATTTGACTTAAACAATATTCTTTTATTTATTAAAGTTTGTAGGTACATTTAAACATTATTAATTATTAAATAAAAATTGATCTCTTCTTGGTTGCATACAAAATAACTGAATAACATCATCTATATATTTGTATTATAACCTTTTCTTTTTCTTTTTTAACAATGTCTTTATGAATATACAATAGAGCTAATTCATTTAATCTATCTTCTGAGATTGAATTACGGATCCAGGTTTTTAACCTTTTTAATGAACTGTAAAATGATAGTATAATAGTTTAAAGATGTATGTAATAAATTATAAAATAAAATAAACAAGTTTTTTTATTTTGGAAAGTAAAACAATTTAATTTAGATTTGAAATAACTTTTATTATTTATAAAAAATCTCTAAAGGTAAAACAATGAAATTAAATTGTTTACTTTTATGGATTTTTTTATGAATACAATAATCATTATATTATTATTATTATTATATATTTCAGGTATATTATTATTGAATAATAATATACCTGAAAGACCTTTTAACACTGCAAGTCGTTGCTGGAAGTGAAATTGCTATCATAGCACACATTCGTATAGAAGGAAGTAATTCAGTTTCTTTTAAAACATCAATGAAATCCATCGTATCTGACACTTCTTTTGAACTCCACATATTATACCATACTTAACCTTCCTCTACAATATTGTCCACAAATTCTCCATAAAATTTTTTAATTCGATTGAGATGCTCAGTTATTTCCTCTCTTGAAAACTTTTTTAAACTTTTTGGATGTAGAGAAAATATGCAAAAAGCATCTTCATTTTTTTTTTTTGAAACCGAAATGTTAAAGATGATATTAATGAGTCCAAATATGGAAGAAAAACTGACATTCTGTAATAGTCAATTGGATTATTTGTTGGATAATTTGATCTTAGTGTCTGTTTTGAAGTAATTCTGGGTACCACAAATTCAATACCAACATCATCAGCATACTGTTTAATATCTTTCATCTAAATGTTAAAAACCTGTTCACTACTACTTCTATCAGCTGAAATAATATCAGTTAAATTTTGTACATGCTTGTGTACTGAAAATAAATCAATATCTACACCTTGTAGTTTGTTAGTGACCGGTTCAATAATAGCTGAATATTTTGCAATTACCCTTAAACAAAGTAAAAACTGTAGAGAAATTATTGAATTAAAAATATATACTGATTTAACTAATGTGTCCTTATTACCATTAATTTTAAGATAATTAAGAGCTTCAACAATATCAATATACTTTTCATAGAACTTCCTCAAAGCCTTGTGAGATTCTGACCATCTCGTTAAACACAATTTTGTCAAACTTGGAGCAACTGAACTTCTAAGAGAACTTTCTTTAAAAAAATTAATTGTTTCTTTAATAATTGCGATTGTATTCCTAATTTCTGGAATAGAATTTAATTCATTCAGAACTAAATTTAATTTGTGACTTGAACAATGTATATATATTGCTTTATTACACTTATCTTGAATTCGTTTTTGTACCCCACTAATATGACCAGACATAGTGCTGGCACCATCATATCCTTGATCAATTAATTTATTTAAGTCTAATCCCCAATCATGCAATGACTTAATAATTACATTTGAAATATTTTCAGCATCTAATTTATTAAGTGCTAATAAATCCAAGAAAATCTTCTCTCATAATTGGGGATTGATTTTCTATAAATGTATACCTTATACATATTGACATTTGTTCTGTTCCACATATATCCATTGTTTCATCAGCACGGATACAATAACATTCAAATTTTTTAATTTGTTCCAAAATTTTATTTGAAGTAATAGACCCAAAAATATTAATAAATTCATTTTGAATACGATGTGATAAATAAGTTGCATTCTTTGGAGCATTGTTAAAATGATCCTCTAAAATATTATCACCACATTCTACTCTAAACTTCAACAAATCATTAAACAATGCAGAATCGTCAGAATGACCTCTTAATGGTAAACCATGTGTCCCAAGAAAAAATATTGATGAAACTATTGACTTTAGCTTTAATGTATTAGTCTCTGTCATTAATTTAACTGAATTATCAATCATTTGATGAACATTTGTTGTTTTGTTTAACATAACAGAAATAAAATCTTTAGATTTCAATGTTGTAAACTTATGCCAATCACTATTTAAATGAACTTTTGCTTGCTCATGAAATTTTTTATAGTTACAAAAAACGTTTTTTATAAATACACCTTTAAAACTACCTCTTTTAATTGGAGATTCAAATAGTACACAATATTTACATAATGCACCTTTCAAAACAGAAGAATAACACAGCCAATCATAATGCTTAAGCCATTCATGTAAAAAGGGCCTTTTCCCATGTGTAATATCAGCTTTAAAGTTATATTTTAGATTTGGAATCCATGGGGTCATAAGAAGTTGGTATTTAAGTAAGTTATCTTGAATATTTGTATTTAAAAAAAAGACCAATATCATAATCTGCTTTAATTTCATTAACAGAAGTATCATAAACATTCATCTAAAAGGACAGTATAACTTTATAAAAATGTTATCTGTTGAATTTATTTAATTAATTGACAGTAAAACACACTCTTACCTTTAATTGCTGAATAGTCGAGTCACAAGAATTAGATGTGCTCATGTCCTACAATTCGTTTAAAAAAATTGATTAATAAAAATCAGTTAACTAGTACCTAATAAAGTAATAAATATTTACGGTGGTTTGAGATTGTGTTAAAATTTCTTCAGCATCATCAGTTTTTTTTTTCTTTGAAAAATATGAATATAAATTTGTATTTCTTTTACTCATGACTATACGGTAGAAGTCTTATATTTTTTACTTTTTAGATAATACTAACAATAAGTATAAAAGTATCACAGTTACGGTCTACTGTATACAAAATGACACGACTAACTGGGCGTCCCAGGGTCGCGTTTCTGCGAGTTATTTTATCTATAGTTGTTGTCGTATTTGGGTAGAATGAACCTATTAAACTGACTAAAAATAGCCAATTACAAAATCAAATAAATTATAATCATTAAGATTGGGGGATTCTATAGTTTGTATCCAGCTAGGTAGAAAATATTACAATAGTTCGTGATACTATTGATGATAATTTGTAATTCCGTATTTTGATTACTGTTGATTATATTAATTAATATAATTACTGATAAGCTCGAAAAAGTTTTATTCTATATGACTATATATTATTTTATATTTTTGATGGAAAAATGGAATACCATGCATGATATTAAAGTACAGTTAAAAATTCCCAGGGGGGGCAATGGCCCCGTTGGCCCCCTCCTGTGGGCGCCCTTGGTCGTATTGCCACATGTCTTGACCATCATACAACTTACACAACTTACACAAACCACTATTATCACATTTATCGAAATATTTCCACATTGTGGATGAGTTGGAAGATATCGTACACTTGAGACTTGACGCAGGTAAAAAGGTTAACTAAATAAGAATAGGAAACGTACGCGACTACGGAAACGCAAACGGACTACGGAACGACAAGGCGACAAACGGACAATTATTGACAAATGAGTAAATGTCAAATGGCAATACAACACAGTAAGGCGTAGACACTAGACAGTAGACAGTTAACATTAAACAACACTTTCAGCTTAACACGTTCGCCGCCCAGTGTCACATATGTGTGACATGGGGTCTCTTTAAAAAAACCCATGTCATACATATGTGACATTCGGTATATGATTTTCAATAATTTATCGTGGGCTTGGGTTTCTTCATACAAATATCACAGCATGTTGGTTTTTTTTAAGCGCTACCTACGCCATCTAACGGTGTACGTGGTTTTTTGTTAGTGTCACGAGATCGCGAGATAATCGAAATTAATGTTACGTGATAATCTTATAATCTTTTTCTCTCTACATTGCTTATTATATTTATTTTTTCACTTGGTATCACTGTTCCAAACACGTGAAAATCGTTATTAAGTTGATACTATATTTTTCTAATAACTTTATATTATCGTTTGCGATTAAAAAAACGTTAAAACATGAATCCTGAACAAATCAATGAAATATTAAATTACAGTTCTGATTCAGACATTGACGAGGATGATTATAGTAGTTCTGAAGAGTATCTGCCACCAGGTAATGAATCTGAAAGTGAACACTCTGACGGTAATTCTGTGGAAAATGGTATTGATTTTGAAAATTCTGAATGGAATTTTGATATAAATACAGAACCCGAATTTGTTGATTTCACCGGTATTCCTGGCTTACGGTGTAATGTACCAAATTCCGAACCTTTCAGTTATTTTAATCTATTTTTTGACGACGAACTATTTAAAAATATTGTTACATGGATAAATCTAAGAGCAAACAGTGTGATTAATAAAGGACATAGCCGATATTCAAATCTTAATAGGTGGCATGATATTGATGTTGACGAACTAAAAAAATTACTTGGTCTCAGTATCGTAATGGGATACTTGAAATTTCCGTCTCTAGGTACATATTGGTCTAAGTTCGAACTAGATTTTCACCCAATTTTCGAAAAAACAATGAGTCGTCATCGTTACGAACTCATTTTAAGATTTTTATGCTTTTACGACCCGAGATCAGCGGACACATCTGACCGTCTACATAAAATAGAAAATGTAACAAAACATGTCATAAATAATATCCAAACGAAATATTATCCGAAACAAAATTTGTCTTTGGACGAATCTATGATGTTATGGAGAGGAAGGCTAAGCTTTCGGCAATACATACCTAGTAAAGCCCATAAATATGGCATAAAATTTTATGAACTTTGTTCATCTGATGGTTTTTTATTGAACTTTATAATTTACAAAGGAAAAGGGACAGTTATAGATGAGAATGGAGTAACTTTTGGTATTGTAACTAAATTAATGCAAAATTATTTAGGTAAAGGGCACACTTTATACATGGATAATTTTTACAACAGTGTTCAATTAGTCCAGCATTTATATAATAATAAAATCACAGTCGTGGGAACGTTGCGTAAAAATAGGAAAGATAACCCTAAAGAAGTTTTAAATTCTAAATTAAATAAAGGCGAAGTGAGTCACGCCCAAAAGGGAAATATACACGTGATCAAATGGAGAAATATGAGGGATGTAAGCATGATATCATCCAAACATAAACTCGATTTTGAAAATGTAATTGATAAATTTGGGCGAAGCAAATTTAAACCAAATATGGTAGTTGACTATAATTCTAAAATGTCCGGAATTGATAGAATAGACCAAATGATCAGCTATTATCCAATACCAAGAAAAAGTATGCGCTGGTATGTTAAAGTTTTTTTTCATATATTGGATATTTGTCTATGGAACGGGAACCATTTATATAACAGTAATGTTAAAAAAATGTCCCATTTGGAATTTAGAAGGAAGGTTGCCAGCGAATTAATTGGACATACTGCACACACCCCAGGTCCTTCAACTCCTATTACGAGTACTAATATACACGTAGTTAAAAAAGTTGAGATCAGAAAAAGATGTAGAGTTTGTCACGCAAAGAAGATTCGAAAAAATACACAATTCGTATGTGACACATGCATTGACAATAAGGGGAAAACAATAGGACTGTGCCCAGATCCGTGTTTTAAAATTTTCCATTCTTAATTTGTTAATCTCAGAGTTGTTAGTTTTAATTTTAAAAATAGTCGATTTATACGTCGAATAATGTTTTTTATGTCATAATTTTGTACCTATTTTTTATATGGGTAGCGAACGGATTGATTTTTAATTTTGTTTTTATTTGAATTGTATTTGTTTTATATAACGGGT